CCGTAACTGCAGGGACACGTTTTCGGGTGGGAGTGCACGGGGAATTGTCATCCCCAGTACTCCTACTTCCCACGGTTATGAATACATGTCAGAACCTGGGCAAGTACATAGGTTGACCCCTCTTGGAACAAGTGAGAAATTATGTTTTGTCTTGTAATTTGGGTGAAATAGCCCTTTAAAGCAACTGATTCTGGACCAGAAGTAACAACAGCTCTTCTGTTCTCCTCGGCTGCATGGAGACGGTTTCCTCCTGTGGTTCTCATTAAGAAGACATCATCAAGATCGCACTCTGTGAATGTTTGTGTGTGTGTGATTATTCAGGCATTCAGGCAGTGTGTGTGTGTAATGCAAGGCCCTACTGCCTGTTTTCAAAAGTTTCATTAAAAGCAGTGAAAGGCTTGATCTGTGGTCGGGGTCAGTGTCCTGTGCATGTCTGTGTGTGGCAGCATTTGAATAATGTAAGAGGTGAGGAGAAAGTAAAGGGCGGAGGGACTGAGGGACATCCACAGACAAACCCGAAGGGGCGAGACAGAGCGGGACACAGAAATGGGTTTACGCAAACTCTGACCTCATATTATGAATGAAAACATCAATCAATGAGTATAACTAATCAATTTTCCCAGTCTTCCTCTCCTCTCCCCAGGATGCAGAATTTAAGAGCTACATTTAATGGGATTAGAGTAATCTGACCACAGCCCACTGGCATCTGTGATGCATTAGTGAGCGCAAAACTCAAAGGAAACTTTGGATTTTTTTCAGATTATTTGCAAGATTTTCAAATAATCTGCTGACCCCTTGACGAAAACCAAATCAGTATCACTTACTATGCACCATAGCGGCAAAGGAAATGGATTACCCCATGGGCTCCGAGCAAGTTAATGGTAATCTGGAATGGGTTTAACTTTAAACTTAAAATTGATTTTCATTGCTTTGGTTACTCCTGTTCTTCTACAGGACAAGCCGTCCACACTAACATGCATACACTTACCACACGTGCCTAGGTTGCAATGTGATAATTCATTTACACTAAACTATAGGTAATCAGAACAAGATTTGCCTGAGGCTGATACACTGGTCTCCTTATACACATGCACAAACATACTATACACCTTCAGTGAGCAAATGCATAGACAAACCAGTCCACAGTGTGTTCAGTATGCACGATATCCACCCTATAGGGCCTGTTAGCAGACAAGCTAACGTAAGATAAGCATCTCTAAATGGGCAGCAGGATTAACAGTTATTAACCATCTTACATAGCCTCATTAAGTACATAGAATCTCTGGTGAGACACAATTCCCCATTAAGGACACATGATCAAAGACACACAGCACACTATACACAAGCTATCTGATGACGTTATCAATAAGTTATCAGTACCAAATGCTCTCTGCGATCAGCCACTCCCGTCTCTTCAAATGTGTGAGTAAAACTGTGTGTGAGTGTGAGAGACAGTGTGTGTGTGTGTGTGTGTGTGTGTGTGTGTGTGTGTGACCTTGTGTTGCTGCCGCCATTGATTGGGCTGGGGCTGTCAATCGATCAGTCTCGCCTGTGTTTGAAGATAAAGGTGTTTCTATCTCTGGAGCCTGTGGTTGCCAGGTAGGAGTACAGAAAAAGATGTGGGCAAACCACATTTGGCCTTGTGCTTACATGTTTTTGGCCATGCAGTGTTTCATGAGTGCATTCATTTTGCTTCAAGATTATGAAATTCAAGTTTAAGGCAGATGTGTTTATTGATGGACGTTTTCAAATGTGGACTGGCTTTTGCACAATCGATAGTTGACTGGGTGTGTTTGACACATAGTCCTGTGCAATCGTGTTTAGAGATGCACCGATCGATTGGCGGAGATTGGAAATGGCCGGTTTTCAGCGCGATCGACCTGATTACTGACATTTCCGATTCTGTGCCAGTCAGATGGTGTACAACCAGAGCGCATAGGAGCCCACAGATACTCCTTGGAGGAGGGAAAACTGCGTCTAAATCTCCAACAAATAGTACACAGTGAGGAAGTTGCTGGTTATACGAGACTTGCGTGTATATGTACAATACATCCACCCTGTAGTAAAACACAGCAAATACAATCTACACTTCAAAAAGAAGTGTGTGCTCAGTCGGACTGATGTAACAGAAATTCTTTTGTTTTTATTACCTGTTGCACCTGTTTAGATTTGTGGAAGTAAAATACTGCATTTCATTTGCATTTCAAAAAGAAAGAGAGAGAGTAACTTTAGGGATGTCCAAGATAAAAACAAACAGGGACAGTCCGTGTTGGTTTAACACATAAAAGTCAAGAAATATTTTGTACCAGAGTTTGACAGCGAGTCCATTTGTCATGATAAAATAGTAGCATTGTTTTAATGATGCACCATATCTATCTTCAAACTTGCTGTGTTGCATTTTAAAGTATGTCTGTACTTCTAGTTGTCTGAAGTCTGAATATAAACAACACTAAACATATGTTGGCCACCTTTCTAACTTATAAAGAGCGGATTGTGCATTCAAAAATGTGGATTGTGCATCATGGACTGCAACTTTATAAGGAAAATGTTTTGTAAAATTTTGTTTACTGAATCTTTATAAAATCTGTATTTGATACACCAATGTAGCAAAAACTAAGCGCCCCTGACACTGGTAAGCAAATATAGAACACAAACAAACACAAGGGACTTCACAGCCTTCAAGAGATCTTACATTCCCTTTGTCTCTCTCTCTCTCTCTCTGTGTGTCCTGGGTTCCTCCTCCACCTGGTTCTACTTGTTTGCTCATTTTTAGTTTTTTTTTTTTTTCCCCCACCTGCAGATGAAAAGAAATAAAAAAAGCATTTGGACACCTGAGTGAATAGCGCTCACAGGTGTGTGGGAGGAGAGCTATGGGAATCAGACAGGGTCTCTCTCTATCTATCTGTTTATTCTGCTTGCTCTCTCACTCCTGAGGTGTTTTTACAATGCTTGTGTTTGTATTGGAAACTTGTGGACATGCGAGAGTGTGTGTGTTTACATGCACATGTCCTGCGTGCATTGCTAGAGTTGTGTGTTGCCTCCTGTTCTGTGTTTAAAACCAACCCACAGGTTTTGGGTTAACGTGACCTTCACATTTTGATTGTTCCATCTGGTACAAATGCTCAGCCCGGCTCATCTTCATGACCTCATCAGGTGTTCACACAGTCCAACTCCAAACAAACCTTCGACGAAAGCTAAAACAAACTGTGCTTTGCTGTTTGCGGGCACGGCAAAACCGACAGTAACAATAAACATGCAGCCAAGCGGGTCAAAGACAAAGCAATGACACACACATTCTTAGAAACAAAACTGAAGCACAAACGTAACCGTGTTCAGTAAACACAAAATCCCACACAAGTGGCTAGGAAGGATAAGTCCAGGGACACACTGCAAAAAAATAAAAGGGTGCTTGAAAGAAAGATGCCAACTGAAATGTGTAAGTCCACAGAGGTGAAACAAGTAACACTTAAACTAATGTGTCAGATAACCTACAATTATGACTAGGTTTGATTTGGGGGGAAAAAAAAAACAAACAAACTTTTTTGCAGTGTATGTCCTGTACTGCACCGGATCTCTCTCACACACACACACACACACACACACACACACACAGTTCTCAAACCTAATTACTCTAAATACACCCGCCCAACCATCATCAGTGAAATAAACAAACACACTCAGGCACAATCAGAGACCAGCCATGCAATCATAACAACCCCCCCATCATCCCCCCCACACACACTGCAAAGAGCTCATCGCACACGCCCACACACACACTCCATCCTCCAATCTCTTAATGTTCATTCTGCCTCCTTGACTCACCAATGATGTAGTAGTCATGCATACTCTTGAACTCGTGGCCCCAGAGGTTGGGCGAGAACTCCTGGAACTTGATGGTGAAGCGCCGTTCACGTGTGGGCTCATCACAGGTGAGCACGATGTTGGGGGGCCCAGTCACCTCGCAGCGGTCTGCCTGTTCCCGCGCCGACACAAGATAGAGCTTGTAGAACTCGTACTCTGGTGTGGACCGGGCGGTGTCCAGCGGAGGGCAGATGAGGTCCAGCCGGTCCCCGATCTGAGGGTACAGAACATAACCCTTGTCGTCCCTGAACCTGGAGAGAGGCAAGAAATAAGAAAGAAGGGAGAAAAAACACAGAATCATTAACTAAAGCCCTTTGCTTCATGCAACATCAATATGAACTAGTTCAGAACCACCTGTATGAGCAACAGATGGGCCCCTTTAGATCTCTTTATTTCTCCTACTTCTTTCTCATTTTCTCCTCTTTATTGGGAACAGGTGCCTTTACAGAGAAACTGCTGTGCAGTCAACTGCACGAATACATTTTTACCACACAAACTCACGCACTGAGCTGCTGACCCCATGAAGCGGTGGTGGAAAAAGGAGAGAAATTTGTCACCAATAACCACCAAACTAAAGTCAAATGAAATCACTTTATGCTTCATTCTTGTGAACTTCCCTGCAGAATTTACCTTCTGTTCGGGGAAATTTCAAGCAATCAGAATCTTGTAAATCTCAAGACTAATACATGCTTGAATAGTCACAAGTATGCAGAAGGCACTCAAGCGTTGAAGCGGGACAAATATTGCCATTACAATAAAAGCCTAAAATTTACTTAAGGCTACATAGAATTCAAAACAAAAGCATATAAAACAATTATGTGCACATATGGATGTGTGCCAGGAAAAGATCGTGAAGTACTGCAAGCAACGATATAAAACATTTTAAACTTATTTTTCTTTGCAAGTCCTTATATTTAGAAACAGGAACTGAGCCGTATCTATAGAGAGAGAACCAGACAACTATCACTGCAGAACAGCAGAAAGAAGCTGCCAAGGTATGTACAGCTCATTAGTTTGCTAATTAGCTGGCTTGATGTCAGCCTGTCATACTCTTTTGATATGAATGATATGCAGTTTGCTTGTTTAACTGGCAATCTGACACCTGTGGGGAACCTGCAGCCTCAAGTCATTGCTATTTCAACAGTTTGATAAAATTTAACAAAAGTAGAGTTCATTATCATTATATATTACCATGGCTTTCAGTGAACAGCTTTGATATTACACAGTCTTAATGTTGTTAAACCGGTTTCCGGAGTAGGATCTGGGGTAATATTTTACATAAAGACTTGGATTAATTTTGTGTATCAGCACAAACCCAAATGGAACAAATCTAGTCTATAAGTATTGATGCAGTATGGAGTGTTGGGCGTATTGTAGTGTGCACAGCTTCCAGAGTCCAGACATGAAACCCAGTAGTCAAAGGGGCACAGACTCAACAAATGACTCAGACTCTTGTCATTCCCCTCACCACACAGGGACATCTCTTATTGATAAGATCAAATATTGAGTTATCAACTTTGCTCCTCAGGCTTATGAGAACCGTAATGTGCCATGCAAGTATGTTTGGTTAACCATGGGAAAACAGACAGCAGTCCATACACACCCACAGCAACTTTATCTTAGTTGGAAATACAGAAAATTCCCCTACTGACAGTGACAAAGTTTATAATAGCAAACAATAAAAAGGAGGCGGCGCTTTGAGGGATTTCCTGTTATTGTCACAGAATATTAGCTGACACTTTGATTTGAAAGTGGCAGGAAGCAAATGATGTTAATAAGCCCATTTTCTGTTACCTCTAACTCAGATGCTGTTTCTGTTAACAACAAATCCACATGAGCACTTGAGAGTCACAGTATCAAACATGCTTAATTATTCTCTCTGTTCTACTGTCAGACAACTGTGTGACCATTAAAAATAAATACAGGATCACAAAGCATGAACCGACCGAGAATTATGTTGTGCAACTGCGCTGTTAAGAAAAAGCAAAACAAATCCTAATGTTCCATTAGCAGCATATGACACTTTCTTTTGTACCTTTCAGCTACAAATACACAAAAGAGTGACAAATTTCTTTCAATTTAGTTGAATTATTTATGATATTAAGTAGGTGCCAAGTTGGTTTTTATTGCAAGTATTTCATAACTTCATTTCTTTTCACATACGGTTATGGGTTACTAAAAGTGACACTCTAATACTGCACTTTCATAAAGTCGTAGACTTGGAATAGCTGAACTCTAGCCTCTAGTGTGGGTTAAACTCCCAGGTAGACCTACATTTCCCATAATGCAGCCTTATAGCATTTGTCAGAATGCGCACACATAGAGTTCCTCCAGGTTTTATAACACAGGCTTTTTGTAAAAACTGGGCAGCACATGCTGAGACAATGACAAACATCAATCAAGGCAATATTCTCAGACTTTAGAAGTCTCCTTCCAGAGCCACAGAAGACAAACCATAAACCACTAACAATAGGAAGCAAACTAGTTGTCATATGTGAAATTGCTGGAAGGCCCCTTTAAAGATGCAAGTCAAATTTTGCCCAAACTATCAGTTTGTGGACATAAAAGGCACGAAATATTTCCACAATATTGACAGTGAACATAAGCGAGAGTTCAGCTCAATTTTGCTGCCTGAATACATTTTGCTAACCTGAATTTGCTATTCAGATAATATCTGCCTGGTTCCCACTGGAATCAGATTCATTAAACTTTTGGCTCTACATTTTTCCTTCTGGTCATGTGTTCTCCTCCTGCAATCCTCAGAACTTGTTCCACAGTTTACAACCATTGACGTAAATTCAGTTCAACAAGGTAACATCCATGCAGGGCTGTAATTTGACACAGTGGTACTTTGAGCTAAATGCTAACATTAGCATTCTAACAACGGCAAGGCCTTTATTAACATGTTCACCATCCTAGCTTAGCATGTTAGCATGCTAACATAGCTACCTATAGAAACAAGATGCTATTAGTTATGAAGTCAAACTAAAGTGCTGCATGAGCGACCAACAAAACATCATTCACAGAGCCACTAGTGTTCCTTAAAAGAGACATTTTAGGCATAAAGCAAAGTGTTGGTAGGTGATATTAGTATATATTTTAATGCTGGTGGATAAAACTGTACTTGTTTTCTAAAAGCAACATTATATAATAAAATACAATACTGTAGCTATGCACTAATTACTAGAGATTCTACAAGCAGGTAATGAGGTTTTGTAAATCACCTTTTGTGCCCACATTTTTCTTCCTTGCCATGCAGACAACCTCTACATCTTAGCACTGTGAGCTAACTGCCTTACACCAGCTGGGAATTGAGATGCACATTTTATCTGCTGGTGCATTTTGCTGGTGGCAGACACCAATGGGGAACTTGAGAAAGCTAAATGAATGGCAGAGGAGCCTTAGCTTAGGTGGACTCATAGGCCTGTGGGGGTTATCAGGTGGTACTTAGACTGGAGAGGCTGGTACTCAGCGTCAGTTAGCACTGCACACACACACACACACACACACACATACACACATAATTCACCTTCCTGCAGGCCTCCGACAGGCGAACACATACGCTTACACCATATTTAGAGTACGAACTGTAAACATAATGTTGGTTCCTGAGGCTTCGGCACCAAAGCCTAAACAGAAAAATCTATTCAAAAAACAAATGCCCTCCTGGTAAACACAAAAGGTTTGCCCAAATACATCCACCCACATCCAAAACACACAAGTTTAGTTTTTCCCTAAACATGAACACTGAAACCCACTGACATAGACACACATATGTACACACACTTACAAAAACAAGCACCTTCTGCTTCCTGCATGACGCATTCTCTGAGTACCCTGAGTCACAGTCGAGCTGCACTGCAGAATGGCAGCACAAACACACACACACACAGAGAAAAGAAGAGAGAGGAAGGGGATGGTACGAGTGTTAAGGTAAAATGCCACTGGGCAGGTGCAGCGCTTGAAAAAGGAGGACAGTGATGTGTGTGAGAGAGAGGGGGGAGTGGAAGAAAATATTGAACATGTCAGGCAAGGCATGTAGCAACAAAGAAATGTTGTGAACAAGCATAGAGACAAAAGGAAACCCCTTCTCAGAAAAATGTTAAAATAGAGCATCAGACAGATAACGACAAATGAGAAAAACAAGAAGAGATGGAAAGATGACGGCAAACTCCAGCACATTTCCTGCAAGAGAACTCAATTTTCTCATGTTTGACACGTATACAGGGTGGCAGATTTCCTCAGTTAACCCAGGTTAACCTAGTGTGTTTCAGTAAATGACAGCGTGTGGGCGGACTGTAAACAGAAGGGGTTAGGGAGACTTTGCCCCAGTCTAATCATGTGGTAAAGCAAAAAAGATAACATCCATTTATCTCAGACCACGGCTTCCCCCTCCTGTGGGTGATACAATCGTCACTGAACCTGGACATTCAAACATCCACTACATTGATATACAATCATTTATACTCAGTTTGTTCCCTGTAAACAAATGTATTAATTCCAACTTAAGGTCCAGAAGACTTTGTGGAGCTTTGTGAATCCCACAATGCTGTGAAACTCCCTTCTAGTGGAGAAGCTTAGCTGAGATGAGGGAGTGGTGAAGAGCAGAGAAGGGAAAGTGAAGTAAGGTGAAGTTATAAACAGGTTTACAGAGTTCATCTGTGACCACATATAAATAAATCATCCCATTCAGATACAGCCCTGAGTGGCATTACGTTTTCCCTTTTCGGCCACATTTGGCTCTGAGAGAGTCTCTCTGTCTCCGAGCGTCTGCTTTCTCCTCCATCACTTTATCGCTCATCTCTTTTTGCCATCCACTCTACTCTCTCCCCCCTTCCCCTTTTTCTCAGCCATTAACAATAAAGCCATTCATGTGGTCACACTTTGAAACGCGGTGTGGGTGGGGAGTTGGAGGGGGCCAGAGGTGACACTGAGTGGGGAGAGGAGGAGGAGGAGGTGGAAGAAGAGATGCAAGGCTTGGGAGGAGGGAGAGCGGGTGAGCTTCCCTCTCTTTTCTCCTCCTCAGTTCTTTTATGAAGGCAGGAACATCATTTTCTCAACCCGAGTGTTGCCCTGCCCCCCCCCAAACTGAGCTGAGAAGACTCAAGTGTCAGTCTCCCTGACCTCTTATACCTCCTGCTTCTTACTACCCCACTCCTCCCCCATATACCCTTCCACTCCCCTCTCTCACACTCT